CACCACGCAATGCGGTGTTAAGGAGTCGTGGTGGAGTCACGCATTCTGGTGAGATCAGGTTGCTTTGACCAGACTACATTACATAAGGATACTGTCCATCAGAACCTACCAGTGCTTGAATTGGAATGAAAAAGGTGCCAGTACTCTAAAATCAGCAACTTTTTCAAGTCAATTTTATATATACAGCCCACAAACAAGAATTTGGCTACTATAATGCTGGTGGGTTTGTCTCTTTACTACTGTATATTTTAGAAAGGTTAACATTTGTTATGATAGGCAGCGGATATGGCTAAAGCTCAGTAAGGTCAATATTAACTGAAAATATAGCAATCAAAGTCTAGATCTTCTGCTGAAGACACATGAAGCAGAGACCTTTCAGGTGAGAGCCCCTCTGGTGGTGTTCAACATTAATGACAAGGAAACAAAGCTCTGGTCAGAAGCATTTTTTATAAAAAGCTTTAACAAAATTAAGTATTTCTGTACATTTTGAATGCAATCTAACTTTCCAACTCAGAAAACGAAAAACGAAAAAGTGCCAAAAGTCTTCTCACATGGCTGAGCTGCTTTGCAATATACTTCACCACTGAAGAATACAAATATGTATAAAGTAAACTATGATGCAATCTAACTTTCCAACTCAGAAAAATGATAAAGAGCATGAACAAAGAACATGTCAAAACAAATGCAAAATTTGCACAATCTAAAATGAGAAACTGTAACTGCAAGTAACAAAGTCTGAGCCATGGTAAAGAGTTACATTGAACACCAAGCTGATCAGATAACTCCCTGGTTGGTCTGAAGTCCTTCTATCTCCAGGATCTGTACAAATCGGCACATTATGCCAAAAGTCTTCTCACTGGGTGAGCTGCTTTGCAATATACTTCACATTGTTAGAAAAGGCTCCAGAAGGCCTTGGGGACATCAGTATCAGGGGCTGGAGCTGGACAGGCTCTTTCATCAGCACTTCTCCTTCCCTTTGCCAGCCAGGACCTCACATACTGTTCCGGATTGAACTGTCCTAGTGATGGTCCATTACATTTAATGAAAACCAGGCTGGACAGTCGGCTGACAGAGAGAGCATTCCTTTTTGCAGTAAGGATATCGTTCATGCAGCTGAATGCCCGCTCACACTCACTAGTGGAGACAGCGATGGTTCGGACTGCTTTCAGTAGAGGCTCCATGGCAGCAGGTGTACGGGATGCCCTGGTTTCCTTGTATTCGCGAAAGCCCTGAACAGTCTCTCTTCTGTCCACTTTCAGCACTTCGCACAAACGTAGCACCTCTACGTCCCCATACTGTACGTCTAACTCCTCTTCAGGCCAACTTCCAGGATGGATAACTTTCATGTCCTGGATTAGCTGATTGTCCCGGGCCTCCCGGCCATGTAATGGGATTTCTCTTGTGCTGACATGAGAGGAGGTTGTGGAAGTCATTCTGTGTCTCAGATTCTCTACCATACTGCGGAAAAACAGACCTGCATGAATCTGTACAAGCCTGCCATTCTCACGCAGGGCAACACCCTTGAAGGACTTCTCAGCTAGAGCTGTATGAACTGTAGTCATGTGTGGGCCAGGCATGGTGACCATGGATTCAAAAACTCGTATTTCTCGAGTTAAGAGCCTATCTGCTGTAGGCAGTGTCATCTCTCTTTTTTGGAGTTGCCGAGAGAGGTCGCTGAGCTCTGTGAGCGCATCGTACATCAGTCCCAGATTGCTGACAAACGTTGCAGATGTGAGCACATCATCCAGGCCCTTGTACTTTGCTCCATCTCTGGAATCCCTGCTCGTGTCGTTTGCAGCATTTGTGAAGTGATCATGAAGCACTCGGTAGTTTTCCCAGACTGCTCTGACGCTCCTTTCACTTGAAGCCACCCAGCGGATGGACAAAACACGCCCTATCACCAGGAGACGCTGTCCGACTGCTTGCGCACACTGCGCTAACTGCCTCTGATTTTTGGGGGAGGCATGGAACAAGGAATAGAGTTTGTCAAAAAAGATCTGGAAATGATTGAGCCCTGAGACCTCCTTGACCACATCCCCAACTGCCAGCTCTAGACGATGATTGGAGCAGTGCCACACAAACAGGCTTGGGAATTTACTACACAACTGGGTAGCAACGCCTGTTCTCTTCCCTAGCATGACTGAAGCCCCATCACATGCAAAAGAAACGAAACACTGACCTAAAAAGTCCTCGTTAAAATCTCTTCCAAGACACTCCATTAACGCCTTTGTGATGTCATCAGCCGTTGTTCCATCCAACTCGATCAGCTCCCAAAAAAACGTTTCGGGCTCAGCATCAGCTAATGCTGAGCGTAGACACACAACAAGCACCGTTTTACCACTAATAGTGGTAGATTCATCGACCAAAACACAGAGTTTTCTTTGGTTTTCTGTAATGTCTTTTGCCATTTTTTTCTTCAGCTCATGAGCTATGTGGTCGATGATTTCGCCACAGGTTTTATTGGAGTGCAAAACCCTGCCCACGTTCAGCCCATTCAGTTTCTGTACATTCAAATCAATTGGCATGTCTGTGAATGGCCGGCTATGTTTGCCAATTTTATATGCCGTTCGAAAAACTCTGATAGTGGTGTCTAATTCAGATTTATGCATAGACTGCACTTGATGTTGAATAGTTTCACGTGAAGCAGATGTAAGGATGTCAGCAGCTTTTACATGGGCTTGTGATTCTTTATGTTCTTTGATTTTTTTTCTCAGGCTAGCTTGTTGTTTGCCCTTGTCAACACCGAAATGAGACACTGCACACTCACCCCATTCAGTTGACAGTTTCAGTCCTTGTCCAGTGTGTATTCCCAAAGATTTGACATCTCTGCATATCCGACATCCTAGCTTCTTATCTTTAAGAAGGAGCCATGCATTGGTCTTGCAAAAATATTGCACCTGGTCCGTTGTCCAGCAGTCAGGTGCATCGCTTTGCCCGGTGTTGGTGGTGGCAGTTGCGCCAGCAGCAGCTAACTTTAGAGGCTCTGGAGGAGGCTGCGGAGCTAGTGCTAATGCTAATGCACTAGAACTTGGAGCAGGAGGATCAACCAAAGAAAGCTCCCCATCAGACACAATTTCCAACACAGGCACAGCATTCTCTGTATTTCAAGTTTCTTCCGGCGACAACCGCTGTCTTTTTGCACTTTTATTAATCCACGCTAACATTTTAGAAATGCTAATTTGTGACGTGACTTGCTTTCCTTCTCTCGGGGGCGTGCCTGCTCTGTTCTATCACTCTACATAGCCACCCACTGGGTGGGAGTTGCACTGCATAAACACAACACACGTGCATCTAGGTATGTAAATTGTAAAGCACTAAAACATGGTTTTACTAACAGTTTTCAGTATGTTGTTACTTCGGCATTATTATTATTATTATTTTGAAACGTGTATTACTATTAAATCACGGTCAAATAGGTTAATTTTGACATAGTCGTTTCCACCACAGTATTTACATGGAGAAGATAAGCCCCGCCCCCTCTCCAGCACGTTCTGTTTGAATGACAGGAGTAAACAGCTGACAGCCGCTGTGAAACTCCAGCGGTTAGAGCGATGAGAATGTCCGTTCGGCACCTCATGACGCATCTACTGAGTACCGGGCGGCTGTATATATATATATGGATGTATAATAAGAACGGCGGGAGAGTGTTGAGTACTGGCACGGTGCATGAGTACCGGAGTACCGCCAGCATGCCGGTACTGAGCAAGAAGTGCCGGTACTCCATGGGTCAGAACCAGAAGTGCCGGTACTGCGTACCGGTGAGTACCGGCCCAATTCCAGCACTGGAACCTACCACAATGCTTAAAACATTTCAACACACATGAATTACCATTACATGTTACTTGTTAGACGCTTTTATCCAATACTCAATACTGTGGCCAATCCTCACAGGAGCAATTTGAGGTGAAGGTTTAGTGACATGATGATCAGCAGCTATAGCCTATATGGTTTCATGCTGATAAGATATATTGGTATGCCTTGCTTATCTTCATTATATGTTTAAAGGTTGAGGTTTAAATCCAGTATCTCAGCACCTGGATTTCACCAGAGCAGATGCAGAGCATTCTGTTGGTAATGTTTAACTTTAATACAAATAATTCCTTGAGTTTGCAGAGATTACATTAATCAGTACACTGCCAGGTTTCTATTTGGACTTTTATTTAGCTACATCTGATGTTTGTCATTTCATCATACTGAAAAGCACAGTTATAATGGGCATCTCCTAAAGTTTAAAGATTTAAAAAAATACGCTATTACTTTGCAGACATACAAGTGTACATACAGTGTGACTGCTCAAGGTGACAAGGTACAAGCTGCTTCTTTTATGTTAAAGTTTAACTGCAAAAGCACCACAATCGTAAAGAGGGCAAGAAGTCAATGATGAAAGAAATTGTATGACATCCTTCTTGATCAACATGTTTTTTGGCACACTTACAATAACAATATGTCTATCACCTGACAAAAAAAACAGCCCTCTGAGGAAAAGGATTGCACAATGCTTCTGAGCCTTCAAAAATAACCTTTAGAAACAAAGAAAACCCATCTTCAGCACATTTATCGTGTTGATGTTAACTAACCGCCCCCCCCCCCAAGAAGATGTTGTGTTGCTGTTGTGTATTGTATGTGTTGAGAATGCTGAACATGTTGTGCCTTACAATAAAGGAACTTATTTAAATTAAGCTGTATTTGTCTTTTTAAAAGGGTAGAACAACTAGCATATATAAAAAATAAATCACCTAACACATGTATACATAACACCCCCCCCTTGGAAACAATGAGCATCGCTGGTGATAATCTTGGTAGTTATTTTACATGCACACCCACACAAAAATTAATATCGGAAAGCAAGGTTTCAGGGGTCCATAGCTACCTCACTGCTAATATCTAGGAATATGAATGGGGTAGGAGTCACCCTTGAGTTAAATAAATAAACAGTCAGTGGTTATGGAAATGGTGGCGGGTGGGCCAGATAACAATAGGGCCTTTGGCAGGAAGCTGGCCTCCTGAGTGTTCTGCCTGTACTTGGTGGAGAGGGGTTTTGAAGAAAAATGATCCATTGTCTCTCATCCTGCCTCTGAGCCCGAGCAGTGATACGATGCCTCTGGATGCCAGCCCAGGATGAGCCTACAGAAACTATAGAATCAGATCCTGCTTTATCTGCATGGAAAGGTATGTACAGCTATATTGTTTTTCTTTTACTCTGTGCTGTGTATTGCTTCTAGTGTATGTTGTCTTTGGCCATATATGCCTAGACAAAGGATGTAACTTTACATTACATAGTATTTTAGTTCAATGAAGAAATATGCAACTTCAGATTGTAGAAAAAAGGAGATTTTGCTTGTTACACTTGCCAAAACATGATCTAAGCATTTGAATTCACAATTGTAATAGAGGGAGGTGAAAGAGACTCGAAGTGGGGATTAACACCATACCGAGGGGTTTATTTTGAATGCCATTGCATTAAAAGTATCACACAGTGTTAATGTCTCACGTGGTGTTGGTGTTTTGTATTTTATCCTTTGACTTCTACCTGACTCTGGTCTGTTATTTAATTACAAAAGTAGACATTGACAAAGTATATGAGCAAATACATCTCATGATACATGGTTATTGAAAACCATTAAACACTAACATAATTCATTTATTTTTGTCCGGTAAATTGTAATGGTAGCCTACCGCTTATACCTAAAAAGCAAACTAAACAAAAACATATTGTGAAAGTTCTTAACCAACAGAAAGACAAATAATCTATTTCTGTGATACAGAGTTGAGAGCTATATGGAAACCATTCACAAAAGCCTAAAACAATGGGCCACTGTACAACCCTTCCTGTTGTGATGCAGCCTTCATATAAAGTGTTTGACACTCTTCTACTAGCTTAGTGGTATGGTAACACTTTATTTTGATAGTCCACAGTTAACACTATAAGTCATCAGTTGACATTCAACAACACTGTTTCAACAGACAATTAACATGCATTTAACTAACTGCCAGTAGAATATAAGGTACATCTCAAGTGTTGATGTATAGATTTTACAAAAATGGGGGTGTGGGGGGTGGGGGGGAGAGACAGTTCACATGCGCCATGTCAACCCTGTCTCCTAAAAATTACGTTCCCACAGAACTAAACTGCATTCTCAATTACGTTTAGTTAGAAACGTATTTTCTCCCACGTTACGTTCGTTATGAACGCATCTCAAATACGTTTATTTTCTACATATCTTCTAGAAATATATTTTCTCCCACGTTACGTTTCTTATGAACGTATCTTAAATACGTTTATTTTCTACATATCTTTGCCATTTATTGTCTTGCTTATAATAATGATAATAGTCATTTATAAATATCATTTTAGAGCACACATTTGAAATCAGTAGGCGAGGCTGTAATTTCGCCAGCTGTTACTCTCATGAGCGAGGCAGAAAATAATAGTTTTAACCAGTGCTTGAATTGGAATGAAAAAGGTGCCAGTACTCTAAAATCAGCAACTTTTTCAAGTCAATTTTATATATACAGCCCACAAACAAGAATTTGGCTACTATAATGCTGGTGGGTTTGTCTCTTTACTACTGTATATTTTAGAAAGGTTCACTGTACTTAACATTTTTTATGATAGGCAGCGGATATGGCTAAAGCTCAGTAAGGTCAATATTAACTGAAAATATAGCAATCAAAGTCTAGATCTTCTGCTGAAGACACATGAAGCAGAGACCTTTCAGGTGAGAGCCCCTCTGGTGGTGTTCAACATTAATGACAAGGAAACAAAGCTCTGGTCAGAAGCATTTTTTATAAAAAGCTTTAACAAAATTAAGTATTTCTGTACATTTTGAATGCAATCTAACTTTCCAACTCAGAAAACGAAAAAGTGCCAAAAGTCTTCTCACATGGCTGAGCTGCTTTGCAATATACTTCACCACTGAAGAATACAAATATGTATAAAGTAAACTATGATGCAATCTAACTTTCCAACTCAGAAAAATGATAAAGAGCATGAACAAAGAACATGTCAAAACAAATGCAAAATTTGCACAATCTAAAATGAGAAACTGTAACTGCAAGTAACAAAGTCTGAGCCATGGTAAAGAGTTACATTGAACACCAAGCTGATCAGATAACTCCCTGGTTGGTCTGAAGTCCTTCTATCTCCAGGATCTGTACAAATCGGCACATTATGCCAAAAGTCTTCTCACTGGGTGAGCTGCTTTGCAATATACTTCACATTGTTAGAAAAGGCTCCAGAAGGCCTTGGGGACATCAGTATCAGGGGCTGGAGCTGGACAGGCTCTTTCATCAGCACTTCTCCTTCCCTTTGCCAGCCAGGACCTCACATACTGTTCCGGATTGAACTGTCCTAGTGATGGTCCATTACATTTAATGAAAACCAGGCTGGACAGTCGGCTGACAGAGAGAGCATTCCTTTTTGCAGTAAGGATATCGTTCATGCAGCTGAATGCCCGCTCACACTCACTAGTGGAGACAGCGATGGTTCGGACTGCTTTCAGTAGAGGCTCCATGGCAGCAGGTGTACGGGATGCCCTGGTTTCCTTGTATTCGCGAAAGCCCTGAACAGTCTCTCTTCTGTCCACTTTCAGCACTTCGCACAAACGTAGCACCTCTACGTCCCCATACTGTACGTCTAACTCCTCTTCAGGCCAACTTCCAGGATGGATAACTTTCATGTCCTGGATTAGCTGATTGTCCCGGGCCTCCCGGCCATGTAATGGGATTTCTCTTGTGCTGACATGAGAGGAGGTTGTGGAAGTCATTCTGTGTCTCAGATTCTCTACCATACTGCGGAAAAACAGACCTGCATGAATCTGTACAAGCCTGCCATTCTCACGCAGGGCAACACCCTTGAAGGACTTCTCAGCTAGAGCTGTATGAACTGTAGTCATGTGTGGGCCAGGCATGGTGACCATGGATTCAAAAACTCGTATTTCTCGAGTTAAGAGCCTATCTGCTGTAGGCAGTGTCATCTCTCTTTTTTGGAGTTGCCGAGAGAGGTCGCTGAGCTCTGTGAGCGCATCGTACATCAGTCCCAGATTGCTGACAAACGTTGCAGATGTGAGCACATCATCCAGGCCCTTGTACTTTGCTCTGTCTCTGGAATCCCTGCTCGTGTCGTTTGCAGCATTTGTGAAGTGATCATGAAGCACTCGGTAGTTTTCCCAGACTGCTCTGACGCTCCTTTCACTTGAAGCCACCCAGCGGATGGACAAAACACGCCCTATCACCAGGAGACGCTGTCCGACTGCTTGCGCACACTGCGCTAACTGCCTCTGATTTTTGGGGGAGGCATGGAACAAGGAATAGAGTTTGTCAAAAAAGATCTGGAAATGATTGAGCCCTGAGACCTCCTTGACCACACTCTAGATGATGATTGGAGCAGTGCCACACAAACAGGCTTGGGAATTTACTACACAACTGGGTAGCAACGCCTGTTCTCTTCCCTAGCATGACTGAAGCCCCATCACATGCAAAAGAAACGAAACACTGACCTAAAAAGTCCTCGTTAAAATCTCTTCCAAGACACTCCATTAACGCCTTTGTGATGTCATCAGCCGTTGTTCCATCCAACTCGATCAGCTCCCAAAAAAACGTTTCGGGCTCAGCATCAGCTAATGCTGAGCGTAGACACACAACAAGCACCGTTTTACCACTAATAGTGGTAGATTCATCGACCAAAACACAGAGTTTTCTTTGGTTTTCTGTAATGTCTTTTGCCATTTTTTTTTTTCAGCTCATGAGCTATGTGGTCGATGATTTCCCCACAGGTTTTATTGGAGTGCAAAACCCTGCCCACGTTCAGCCCATTCAGTTTCTGTACATTCAAATCAATTGGCATGTCTGTGAATGGCCGGCTATGTTTGCCAATTTTATATGCCGTTCGAAAAACTCTGATAGTGGTGTCTAATTCAGATTTATGCATAGACTGCACTTGATGTTGAATAGTTTCACGTGAAGCAGATGTAAGGATGTCAGCAGCTTTTACATGGGCTTGTGATTCTTTATGTTCTTTGATTTTTTTTCTCAGGCTAGCTTGTTGTTTGCCCTTGTCAACACCGAAATGAGACACTGCACACTCACCCCATTCAGTTGAGAGTTGCAGTCCTTGTCCAGTGTGTATTCCCAAAGATTTGACATCTCTGCATATCCGACATCCTAGCTTCTTATCTTTAAGAAGGAGCCATGCATTGGTCTTGCAAAAATATTGCACCTGGTCCGTTGTCCAGCAGTCAGGTGCATCGCTTTGCCCGGTGTTGGTGGTGGCAGTTGCGCCAGCAGCAGCTAACGTTAGAGGCTCTGGAGGAGGCGGCGGAGCTAATGCTAATGCACTAGAACTTGGAGCAGGAGGATCAACCAAAGAAAGCTCCCCATCAGACACAATTTCCAACACAGGCACAGCATTCTCTGTATTTGAAGTTTCTTCCGGCGACAACCGCTGTCTTTTTGCACTTTTATTAATCCACGCTAACATTTTAGAAATGCTAATTTGTGACGTGACTTGCTTTCCTTCTCTCGGGGGCGTGCCTGCTCTGTTCTATCACTCTACATAGCCACCCACTGGGTGGGAGTTGCACTGCATAAACACAACACACGTGCATCTAGGTATGTAAATTGTAAAGCATTAAAACATGGTTTTACTAACAGTTTTCAGTATGTTGTTACTTCGGCATTATTATTATTATTATTATTTTGAAACGTGTATTACTATTAAATCACGGTCAAATAGGTTAATTTTGACATAGTCGTTTCCACCACAGTATTTACATGGAGAAGATAAGCCCCGCCCCCTCTCCAGCACGTTCTGTTTGAATGACAGGAGTAAACAGCTGACAGCCGCTGTGAAACTCCAGCGGTTAGAGCGATGAGAATGTCCGTTCGGCACCTCATGACGCATCTACTGAGTACCGGGCGGCTGTATATATATATATGGATGTATAATAAGAACGGCGGGAGAGTGTTGAGTACTGGCACGGTGCATGAGTACCGGCACGGTGCATGAGTACCGGAGTACCGCCAGCATGCCGGTACTGAGCAAGAAGTGCCGGTACTCCATGGGTCAGAACCAGAAGTGCCGGTACTGCGTACCGGTGAGTACCGGCCCAATTCCAGCACTGGTTTTAACATGCCAAAAAGCTGCTGTGTCGTTTATTGCACCTCAAACA